CAGGGCAAGGACAGGTTTGCTAAGCAAAAAACTTCATAGTTTTCCCAGGTTTGACAACGCCAGTGTCTTCTCTCCTTTGCCTAATATGCAAAAGGTATTTTGCATTTTATTTCATTTTAAACAACAGAAATCTGTCTTCCACTGCTAACCTCTGGCCCTTTTGAGGTTCTCACAGTGCTAAAATTCCAGATTTGGACTGATAAAAATATATTCTCTGGAATATCTGCTTGAAATCAGATTATCTAGAGTGAGAGTGGAGATTAAAAATATTTTCTTCAGCTTCACATTTGGAAAAGACTTCCACAGCGATATTGGTACCCGTGAGTATGCTGTCATTCAGTCGACCAGGCACCCTTCTCTGGCATGGTGCAAAGTAAAGATAAGGTTTTTGATGCTAAGCCCCTTAAATTTTACAAATCTATAGCTTGCTTTTATAAAGTCCCTTTCTTGCCAAAACAAGCTTTACAGAAGCTTGTGTCAGGAAATTAAGTTGCTGAATCAACTAAGAATAGTTACCTTTCTCTTTATCTTTATTGCTTGTATTACAAGAAATTAATCTCCTCCAAAGTATGTTTTCTATGCTGGTCTTCCTTTTTTCAGGTAAAGTATATGAATAATATTTTAGGCCACATATAATCCCCACTGCTTATCAAGGATGAATGAAATTCTACAGTCATCCTCACGTAACTACAGTGCATTGAATCTGTTGTATAGAAGCCTACAGGGATGGCTAACAAGGATGGAGTTATCACAAACTGGCCTGTTAAATTACCATGAAATTAAAGCCATGCTTCCTAAAGTCATCATTCTTGACTGAGGACTGCAATACTATCAGCTAACAGTCACACTTTTATTTTCAAAAGATTAAAATAGAACTAAAAGGATTATATGTATGTATGAAAGATTATATGTATGTATGACTTCATTGTTCCTCCTCTGCTTCTTCAATATTCTTCACGGAGATAAAAGAGGGGAATGGGGGTTTCTACTGTGCTGGAGGACCTGGGCTGATTTAGGCCTGAAAAGCTCCATTCTCATGGACAAGAGAAGAACTTGAGCCCCTTTGCACCATACTGACTCAAACACCCAAGCAGTTAGCCCATGCTACATTATTCCTTCTGTCTGCATTTTCCCCCTTTACTTTTTTATTCTCTATGTCAGGCTGACAAAATAAAATTAGAAGAATATGGTTGTTTAAAATGATTACTTACTACTTGGTAATTTAAGAGCAAAAAATAGGTTCTTCATGAGAAGCCTAATATTAGCAAAATAGTGATCTTAGTGATCACTGAAAATCAAACTGCAGGTTATTCTGATTCACATATTCTCCTTGAGCATCTGGTAGTCATACTGTGAGCAGCATGCTAGTGTACGAGAGTGACAGTAACCGAGTAAGAGTTATTTTTTTGCCCATTTCAAATAAAATAAAATTAAAGTGAACCAGTAGTATGAACATCAAAAAAGAAAATCTAGCCATAGAATATTTCAGCTGTCATACTTTAATATCCCCCCAAGGCATTAAGTAGATATAACTCCAATAACTTCAACAAATTTGTTACACCGATGATCTGACCCTAAGGCTTTATTAATAGTAGAAACAAGTTTTTTTTTTTAATTGTGTCATGGATATTTAAGTAAAACTCCCTCTAGACTCCCTCTAGATTATAATCGGCTTAAAATGCATTGCAAGCTATGGCCCACAATTTTAACCCTAGACTCTCATTTTAACTTCCTTTTAGCTCTATGTTTCTCCTTAATGCCATTACAATTTAATACTGGCACAGGATAATGATATGTTATTGCCACAGGAGAGAGGTCACTACAACATTTCAAGTCCATTAATTTTTCTGTAATACTGAGTTCTTTATCCTGCTTTGTCCATTTCAATTAGCCTTTCACAAAGGAGAGCTAATTACAAAATCATTAGACATTTTCAAACGAACCTGAAATTAAGTTGCCATAGATTCTCTTACAAAGCACATCAATAAAAGACAGTTCTTGTCACCTCACTGACAGGGAACAAAATTTTCAGGTGAGTAAAGCATATTGATAGCATTTTGATCATTTAGACTGTTAAAATTTACAGTTCTAATTTACTTTTCCTAGTCTCACTCAATGCATGTAAAATACCTATCATGTGTAAAACGTTCTTTAGCTACACTAAGACAGGAAAAAGAGTGAACTCACTTGAACAGTATTGCTGGAAAGCTGTAGATTTCTAAGCTTGAAGTATACCCCTGAGTTTCCAGTCTTGCTCCGCTTGCTTTATCTTTTTTTTTTTTTCATGTCATAGGAAAACAAACCCCAAGTTCTTGTAGGGGAAAAAATGCTAAAAAGCTACATGTTTCTGGGATTCTGTCTCCAAAAGAAGCTGTCATCTCGTCTGAAATATGTTTTGATTTAAACAAAAACATTTCCCACTAAATACCTATTCTGCTGAATTGGTTATACTGTATGTGCTCGCTGGTGTAAAAGAGGCTAATGTCTTCCATTTTCTCTTATTTTTATTTTTCTAAAGAGGACCAAGTTTTAAAAGACACTTATTCTCTTTATCTAGAGCTATGAATGACATTGGAGATTACATAGGTTCCAACATCGAAATATCCTGGTTGCCAAACCTGGATGATTTGATGAAGGGGTATGCACGTAATTTCAGGCCTGGGATTGGAGGTGAGACCTTCAGAATTCTCTCTCTCTTGTTTCTGACAGTGCTACACACTCTGTGTTTATGTGAATTTTATACGTGATTAAAGGGCTGTAGTTATCTTGCACTTGGATACTGGAAGTAATAAAGATCAACAATTTGCTTGTTGTGCACTCAAAAAATGTTTTTTTTTTACAATATGACACAATTAGAAACATACTCTTCCTGTTGATACACTTCTTAAACTGAAGTCATTTTGAATCACATTAAGTTGTGAAATTTTTTGAAGTTATGGTGTCTCAAACTAGATGACAAGGTTTCCAGCATGAATTCCATAATTTTCAATAGTTATTTCAAAGTTTCAAAGTGAAATATGCCATGGAGAATACTTTAATAAATTTACTCTGCATGAAAGAATTAACAGTCTTGGATCATCTATACTGTTACCTCACTGTGATAATATATATCACCCTATTCTAACACTTTTTTCTCAGGTCCTCCTGTTAATGTTGCTCTTGCCATTGAAGTAGCCAGCATTGACCACATCTCAGAAGTTAACATGGTACGTTGCCATTTAAATACCAAATTATGAACATCTGTATTGCAATGACAGGAGATGAAGAAGCCTAAGTAAATAGAGAGTTTTAAGTAGGATATCCTGTTAAGAAATTAAAGAAGGAAGAGATTTCTCAACATTTTTGGAGTGGATAAATTGTCACACAGAAGTATTGCAAAGAACAAATGTATTTTAAGGCACAGGGAGATTCCCTTTGGGCAGAAATTGGCAATTATAAGACTTCAGTCAGGTTAAGTCTTTAAGCTGTCTTACTACAGTTAGCAAGGCTAGAACTGCCCTTACTAAGGGGAAAAATAATTTTAAGCAGCAACTTTCCACTTAAACTCCTTTTCATCACAGATATTCCTAAAAGATTCTGAGGGAACCATTAGTTGTGAGATGCATCTCCTTATCATATACAGGTCTGAATAAAGCAACAGAGTGCAACATATTGCAGACAAGCAAACAGAGGCAGGAGTTAAGTGCCTTTCTGAAACACAATAGATTTCATTTTAAAACCGAAAATTGTGTGCCCCTCCAAATTTTTCACCAAATCCCAAGGCATTGGTGTTGTGTTTGTTTACCACGATCTGTTAACTGTGATTTCTCTTGTCATAGGAATATACCATGACGGTGTTTTTGCACCAGAGCTGGCGAGATGACCGTCTGTCTTACAACCACACCAATGAAACTCTGGGGTTAGACAGCCGGTTTGTGGACAAGCTCTGGTTGCCAGATACGTTCATAGTAAATGCCAAATCTGCCTGGTTCCATGATGTGACCGTGGAAAACAAACTTATCAGGCTCCAGCCAGATGGAGTCATTTTATACAGCATCAGGTGAGCACGAGAAAGGGAATGCAGATACACTCTCCCATGTGTGTTAACCTTTTTAAAGACTGTAAAGTAAGCACTCAAGTTTTCCTAGGATTGATTTTTCTGGAATAATAATTTAAAAAAAAATTAAAAAAGAGAGTTCACTTCTTTCAGAGATTCCTTTTCTTTGCAAAGATTGTACTGCTAGAAAGGTATCCTCAGCAACACCAGTGTTTTCCACTGAGCAATCACTCATCACTTTTAAAATGCCCTTAATGTCTTAAGCTCATCCTAACTATTTGGACACTAGGCAGGAGGTACTGAATATTAGTATAAAGTTTCAATGTCTTCTGTTCAGTCCTGGAGTTCTGAAGGAAAATGAAAGGTCACAGAATCACGGAACAGTTAAGGTTGGAAGGGACCTTTGAAGACCATAGGTTTGCCTATCTGCTCAGGCAAGGTCCCCTATAGAAGGCTGCCCAGGACCATATCCAGGTCAACTTAAAAGTGTCTGCCCTATGCGAATTCAACTAATTAGTGTTCATTTTGCTTGGAACAGGATTACCTCAACAGTGGCCTGTGACATGGACCTTTCCAAGTATCCAATGGATGAACAAGAATGCATGTTGGATTTGGAGAGCTGTAAGGGCTGAGTACAGTGTTCCCTATATTCTGCTTAACGCCATCCTGTATGGTACTTAAGTTGCTGGAGCTTGCTGGCGTGATTCTGTTTTAGGCAATGAAATGTAACGACTGCTACAATGTTAGAAATAAAAGGTACAAACCTCAATTCTGGGATTGAGCTTTAGACTACACACTTTCCAAAATCAGTTCAGCTCTGATGCATTTCAAAACTATAGGATTCAGTTCAACGAGGATGAAAAGCCTTCAGCCCTGCTGATGATAGATGACTGGCAAATTTGTGCTTCAGGTAAAACCAGATGAAACTGTGACAGTCTTCTCACTAGTGTTAAGGAAGCTTAGATAAAATACAGTGAAAATAAGGAGAGAAGCCCACAAGCAGAACTGAATGAAGCCCACCTCTGACACAAATGGGCCACACAATCAATAGCATTGAATTTGGCCTTTTATGGTTTTTGTATCAGGAACAGACTAAAAATTCGGAGGGTTCCACAGATTTGAGAATAGCAGCTTCTGAACAGATGCACTGACACATTGATGCAGCTTCTCTTTCTTTTTTCGCACTGACTCTGTTTTCTAGGCAATTAACCACAATACTATTTTATCCCGTCAAAAATAGAAATCTACAGTTTTAGTTATGTAATCAGCAAATGCAGAGGCAGCAGACAATGAACTAGCAATCAGCTTTCTCTCCCAGCAAGTTCTACAGGAAATTTTGGTGGCATTGGATTTTTTAATTGAATTTGAGAATTTTGATTTCAGTACAGTAAACATATGTAGAAACAAATCCTCTTTGAAGAAATTAAAGTGGAAAGTTATCCATTAACAGAAAAACCTACAAAGACGGATTTCCTATGGATTTGTACGTTCTATACATCCCTTCATACATCTCATGTCTCCCGTGTGCTGCATCTCTTGCTAGCAGCAATCACCCAGCTGCTTCCCATGCCAAACTGCCATGACTAACAGGCTGATTCAACAATTCAGATATATATTTTATTTTCTCATAGCATGCATACTTTAAAGTGTTGCGGGGCTTGCACGGAGAGACGGACAGTAGTCTGTAAACTGGGCACGTGCTTGTCAGAGGCAGTGGGGAATTACTGACAAGGGGACTCTGCACTGCCTGACTAAAGACCATCTATAACATAAAATCAACAGGTAAAAGTAGAATTACAGAATTACACCTCTGATATTTTCAGTAGGATGGTGACATTAGATTTGGCAGGTATTTTCTTTTCCAGTAAATTCTTTTGTGAATCAGATGCAGGTGCATTGCAGAAGTAATAGCCTGGCTTGAGGGCTACAACAACAGTTAATCTACTTTGAGTGTGTAAACGAGCTTTTTGAGAGATGACTTGAATATTTTTCATGGCACTGAAGTGTGTTGTGCCATACCATGTATTGTCAGTCATTTTGAATCAACTTGAATTTTTCTCCCTGTTGGAAAGCTATCCCTGATCTTATTCTGGCAACACTGATGCTGCCAGGACAGTGAATTATCCAGATTGAATCTCAGCATGTTTGCAGTGAGACTGATGAAAATGACTTTGGCAGAGGAATTGGAGGAGTTCCTCTCTGAGCCCTCTGTGCACTTAATTTCTTCCCCAAACTTTGTGTTTATTCAGTTTTCCTTTTTGGCAGATGGCTACTCTTCAGAGGATATCGTCTACCACTGGTCAGAAAACCAGGAGGAGATCCATGGGCTGGATAAGCTGCAGCTTGCTCAATTCACAATTACCAGCTACCGGTTCACAACAGAAATGATGAACTTTAAATCTGGTAACAGAATCTGACTTGTTCCTACATGAGGAAAACTCCTTTATCTGTGATAGAAAATCCTTTCTCTTAAGAAATTAAAGAATCTGTGTGTCTCGGTACAGTTTTCTTCAGCTGGTACTCACAAAAAATGCCAACCTTTTCTGAGCCTTGGGTATTCACTGTAGCATATTGTGACAAATCTGCAGTCCTTTAGATCCACATGTTAGAAATAATGCTATATGGGGTATCTAGATAGCACTTGTATCTAAAGTGCTAAAGTTTTCTAAAAAAACACTTGAGGTATAGCTCCATAATTTACCATTTGGGAAAAAGTTTCCATAAGTCCTGGTTTTGTGAGGCTTATGAGGTGAAGTCAGATCATTCTAATTCTATCCAGTAAAAGTCAGTTGTGTGTGTGCATATCACTGGATTTATTGCAATGTTTGTAAAAAACTGGAATAATTTCTTTCTTGCTGATTTTTCATCCTCATTCATGTATTCAGAGTCTCATTTATGCTGCACATCTCCTCCAAGCTCTTTTTGGAGTTTGAAATTAACTTGGCCTTTTAAAAAATCTAAATTTAGTAGCTGGAGGACTTTCTACAGCAGATGATAAGACAGTACACATTTTGAAGCAATACTGTTATTCAAGAAGACTCATAATTTTATTTTCAGATCTGGCATTGATAAGACCCGAGACAAGTCATTTGCCCTATTCTTAGCTAACACACTGAGGAAAACTAGACAACCTTGTGCAGGGCTTATGAAGAGTAATTGGACAACATTCAGAACAGGCTTTTGTAGTCTTTGCCCTAAAAAAATGGTCAGGAATGCATATCTGCATCACTACAAAAAGTTATTTTAAATATCAGTTTGACTCTAACTCACACAGCTTTTTTTTCTTGGTCTGCCTCTTTCACTCAGCAGGTCAGTTTCCCAGGCTCAGTCTTCACTTCCACCTTCGGCGAAATCGAGGAGTTTACATCATTCAGTCCTATGTTCCTTCTATCTTACTTGTGGCTATGTCATGGGTGTCCTTCTGGATCAGTCAGTCAGCTGTGCCTGCCAGAGTGTCATTAGGTAAAAGAGATTGGGGAAATAGCAAGGAAGAATAAAGTTGTAACGATGCTCTCTATTATACCTCATTTTCTATGAAGGCATGTTAATTAATGCTATGTTTACATCTGCGGAAGAGAGATCTTTTAAAGATTTCCTTTGTGTTTTAATTTCTATCATGCTATCAAAGCAGCTGTCTGAGTAAAGAACAGAAAATAAACATCTAATAATGGTTAAAAGCCATTGTGAAAGGCAGCAGTTGTAGGAAGGAATTGGTTTGAAAAAACTGGGACGATAAAAAGCATTTCTAGAGCTGGTAGATCTGCTTGCCAGAATAAAAAATTCAAGTCCAGGTGAAAAGATTTTGAGGGCTTGGACCTAGAGCAAAGTGAAGCCTAAGATACTCATAGCTGCCTTATTCATTCAAATGCAGTTTTTACAAACTTTTCAAATCCCCTAGATATTCTGAAGGTTAGCAGCCATACTATTAAAGGGCTTCTACTATGAAAAGTATTCCTTAATTTCAGATTATTAAATACTTTTATAAAAGCATATTACGAATCCTAAAGACAGTTTCACATACTACATTGCAGGTATAACTACAGTTCTTACTATGACTACACTGATGGTCAGTGCCCGATCTTCACTTCCACGAGCATCTGCTATCAAGGCACTTGATGTTTACTTCTGGATTTGCTACGTGTTTGTCTTTGCTGCGCTGGTGGAATATGCATTTGCACATTTCAATGCTGACTACATGAAAAAGCAAAAGAACAAGATAAAGGCAAGAAGACGGAGTGCAGAGGTCAGTAAGTGCCAAGAAAGTGGTGCAAAAGCAATCATCCCATGCTATGAGCTTTTCTCCACATTAATACAACAGGCAACCACATGCAATTGATGATTTTCCTCTGCAACATGATCAGCATTGTACTAGAGGAAACACTTGAACACAGCTTGTTGCTGTATTTAAGTTAGGAAATGGACTCAAAACCTCACAAATACTGTTCAACCCTTGAAGGTCTCATGTATATTTGACATTTGACTGTGTCAGTATATGGCTAGCTCTGATCAGGTACACTGCCTTTGCCCTATAAATTACTTTTTTTCTCCTTTTGCCTTTGCAGATAAATGTGAAGAATGCCATTGTTCTGTTCTCCCTGTCCATAGCTGGTGTGAACCAGGAACTGGCCGTTTCCAACAGGCAGCACAGAATTCCCAGAGGCCTGCCTGGCTCATATGGCACAGTAGAAATAGAAACTGGAGAGACAAAACAGCAGCATGAAATTAAACTGGATAAGAAGAGTGGTCTGAAGTCCCTCTTTAAGCCCATTGATGCTGATACCATTGATATATATGCCAGAGCAGTGTTTCCAGCAGCCTTTGCAGCTGTCAATGTTATATACTGGGTTGCTTACACAATGTAAAAAACAAAACACACAAAAAAAATCTGACAAGACCTGGAAATTGAACATTAACTTGAACAGTATCTACATACTACAAAGACCTTGCTGAAACTGTATTGGTCCATCTCAAAGTATTTTCTGATAAGCTTGAGACATTTCTGAAGTGAAGGAAGCCCTGCAATTGATTACTACTAAAAACAGCAGAAGAAACAATTTATTACCACTTTGGTTTGATATATGAATTACTCTACTTTGCCAAACAATCTCAGCTCCTTTTGTTTCTTGTCTTAGTGTAAGACAATTTGTCATATGTACATATTTGCAGTACAAGTGAAAATCCTAAATTACCATGTTCTTCATTCTAAGGATTGGTCAGTAATGAAGGCTTATCTCTCCATGCTCATATAATTTTCTACAGAGCAGCTGACTACTCATTTCCACACAAGAGTGATTTTCTGTATCTGGCCTTCTGTGCGATGGTCCAGGTTTAACAGTAGTGATAAACTGGAATTTTTAAAATCATAAAAATTGCATTACTCAAGTAAAAGGGAATAAGAGGTAGGTGGAGGATTCTTTCTTATTCTTTGCCTTTGATGAAGTATTTAAAACATTTCAGTGCTCTTAGTCACAGCATGAAATAAAATATATAGAGAGAATACAAATGCAAATACACAAATAGAATTCTGCTAACAATGACTGCATAACATTTCAGATCCAGGCTAAGGAGAGCTTAAACACAGAAATGTTATTAGTTTAATAGGCCCAAAATAGACAAGTGATTCAGAAACACAGACAGTTCAAGCTTCCTACACTGGAAAAGCAAAAATTTTAAAGGTGCTTGATAACAGAGGAATTGCATTTTCAGGAACTACTGTAGTTTCATCTGTCATTTTTCAGTGAAAATCAGATACCTGACTGCTGTATGTGCCTCTGAAAATCTCCTTTCTATATATGGCCCTAAATAGATGATGGAAGTCCAAAAATGTGATACATGGTGTTAATCTACTTTAGATACTTTGAAAATTTTTGCCATCTTTGCTCAGAGGCTGAGTTAATAGATATCTTAGGCCTTTTCACTTCCATGATTTGATAATCAAATTTGTGGGTCCTATCACCTCACCTCATGCAAATTAATTTTGTCTGGAAATATTTCCAGTGACCTCAGTAGATGAAGGCAGTGTTAAAAATACATTTTTTTTTCCATAATTAATCTCTAAAAACTCCACAGATATATTGGGATATGAGTTCAAACAGCTGAAATATTGTTAGGATAAGAAACCAATATAAGAAGCTTCAAAAGGGGGATGCTTTTTGAGCATTTTTGTGCCTGGAGAATAGAAGGTTGTTACATAGGCTGACACAAAAGACAAATTGAGAGAGAGGAGGGAAGGAGGGACACAAAAGAGGCAGCTGAAAGTTGGAGCTGAAGGGTACATTGGGAGATGGAAGATTGAACAAGAAAAGATGTAAAGAGGAGGAGAGCTGTGTCAGGCTTTGAAGATGGGCACCTTCAATTTAGTGACTAATGCGTAATGGCTGCAATTGCAGTAAGGGTGAAGCCAGCATTTGATCACAGTGCACTCACTGATTCCTGCTCCTCCTGCCCTGCTTCCCTAGGACACATAGTTTGATTTCACACAACCAGTGCTGAAAGATAGAGCATTTTAACATGGATTTATAACTGAAAATAAATATTTTCCAATATCATTGAAGTAAAAAGGTCTTCTGAAGAAAAATTAGTGATGGTGAACTACTATAGAAAATATATTCCCATCATAAATCAAGCTTAGGTTTCCCTCAAAATTTAGTTTCTCTTACGGTTGGAAAACTTTCTGCCAGCAACATGATGGAAGGTGCACTCTGACATCGAGCTATAATTGCTCTACAAAATATTTATTTGTTGTATCACTGCGCAATCCGCAAAACTGATATAATAATCCTGGTTTCTTTCATAAATGTTTTGAGTTTTACAGAAGAAAACCCCTAGAGGAGAGACAGCAACTGTTCTCCAAGTAACAAAGGGCATCCAAACAGTATTTACATGTTGCTATTTATTACACTTTCTGAGTCTCTACTGGATTAAAGCAAGCTATTATTCATCTTTCCTCATACTCAGGAAGCTAAAAGAATGTCACATTCCTTTAATATATGCAGGTAAATCCTGGTTCTCCCATCTGCTTTTCCTCCTCCTGCTTTATTTTTCTTTGTGGTTGTTCTCAATGTTGTCTAAATACTACAATACAGAAATACACCAAAATTTGCCAAGTGCTTTTTGGTCATAATTGCTTTCTCCCATAGGAAGTTCAGTAGCTTCTGAGTTGCAGGCCTTTCCGTGCTTTCCCGAATCATTCTTACCGTTCTATGTAATGACTAAGTGCAGAGTGAAACACAGCAGAATCATGGCTTTACAATGACTTTTCCCAAGCTGCTTTTTCTAGGATCTTGGGCCAGGTCCTTGACATATTTTAAATCTCCTTTTCATCTCTCCTTTTTGCTTAAAACTGAGCTGTTTCAATTTACACCTAATCTAATTCTTGCCTGGTCTCAGAAGCAAAGGAGGTGAAAAAGTAACTTTCCTATCTGTCTAGCCATTGGTAAGCAAGAGAGCAGGCAATCTGAAACATTCCGCTCAGTATCACAAGAGCACATTTGAGGAGGGCCCCATGCCTTTCTCTTCTCTGTTACACTGATATACATTAGAAATAATCCTTGTTTAAAAATCAGTGGAGAAAACTGCTTTGAGAGTAGAGTCTAACCTTTTCTTAACTGCTGGCTTCACCAGCTACTAGCTTAGCACACTGCCTGTTAGGGTCAAAAGTTGTTGCTAAGAGTGAAATTATGGGCTAAATTCAGTGGAAGACATGCTTGAAGCAAAATCCAGTGGGCTGTGTATCATAAGAAAAGTAATCCCTGATTTGGGATTAAAGTTATTAAGGAACAGAGAGCAAAGCATTGACCTAGTCCCTCTAGCATACAGTTGCTGGTTATTCAGAGTAATTAGCAAAAATAAAGCTGCAGATACTATAAAGGCAGTGTCTAATCTAATTACTTCAGCAATAATACTTCATAATTGTAAATCTGATATAAGTCCTTACCCTGAAGACAATGGAGTAATCATAGTGAGTTACCATAAAAAATGTTACTTCTCCATTTGGGACTGTCACAGGCTGCAAGTCCCACTCCCTTCTTCAGATTTGTTCAGTGAATTTTCTGTAGTTTGACTGCAAGTTTTTGAGCTGCAGAGCTCAGTTGCAATTGATCAAAGTAAAGGTGGCAGCGAGCTTTCCTTCAAAGACCTGAAACACTAAATCAGCCAGGAGACATTATGCTAGGCTCTCACAATGTTACTGACAGGAAAAAATAAATCCTCTCAAAATATTCCAGGCTGTCAGAACATGCACTGTGAGCATATGGATGGCAATTGTGTCAATTCCACAAACTGGGTAACTCAGGGACCAGAACAGGTGGTTCAGCTACCATTACTGCACAAGCACTTGCATGAGTACCACAGGACAAGACATCTCCATCTTGAAATATTGAAGACTGTTCTCTGAGTTTCCAGAGGTAGAAATAGAAAAGACAGATGCCAAAAGCAGCAACAACAACAACAACAAAACCCACAGTATTTACAACTAAACACAGTACCCTAATAAACATTTTTACAGAGCACTGAATAAAGAGATAAACTAAGTTTGATGTCAGCTGAAGGCTATCCAAATTTTGGACATGCTATACTAGTGTCAAGGAGAGAAGAAAGAACCATGTGACAGAGCAGAAGGATTTTTTCTGTGCTGTACCTGAAAACATTTGTATTTCTTTCAGCGCTTTAGAAAACTGCTCTACAGACTGGTGTGTCTGTGCAAAAGAGAGCAGGATATGTGTTAATGTAATCACTGTAAATGTTTAAGTGTTAATAAAGTATAGATTATCCACAAGTTGTAGCTTCTATAAATTGATAAAACAGACATTCCAACTATTGAATCACAATATAAAAGACATTATAAGGAAAGTCAAAGTAACCTCTGAGATTTCTTCCCATATTGAAATCTTGCCTCTTCAGTGCCAAAGGGCTCATAAAACCCCACTTTGGCCTTGATAATAGAAGAAAAACTACCATTTGGTATTCATGAGTACTCTGTGTGGAGCACTTGCACAGACTTCTGTATTTATGTTAAAAAAAAAAAAAAAAAAGAAAAAAAAAAAAGCAAACAGATGTTGCTGCTTTAAGAGATTGGAAATAACCAGAAAGCACATGACGAAGAGAAAGATACTAAATTATCTGTTTGAAAAACAATGCCTGTACCATTAAGAGGGTAACCTACATATCTAAATCTGTCCTGCTCCTTTGCAAAAAAAAGAAATTTTAGTTTAAGTAGAAGCTCCCACATCAATCCTTAACAGGTTTTCTAATCCAATAGATAATGGAGCGAAACCAATTTAAACTCAATGAGGCTTCCATTGCTGGTACAACAAAACACTTAATAGGATTGCTCTGATTTTCAATACTAACTGTCATTAACCTAAGAAAGCATTTCACATTAAGAGGAAAACAGTACCCCTCTGCATATTTGTTTATGCAGCAGAATAGATAATAGAAAACTCAATGAAAGTTACTGAGAATATTTCCGTTAAAAACAACAACATTTCTCCCTGTACCCTCTTTATTATAGAGACATAAAACATTGGCAGTGGTTAAAAGCTTGTCTAATGTTACAGTAATACTGAGTGCAATACAGTGCATTACAGACCATTTATAGCTATTTTTTCTATTTTTAAGAACACTTAATATAAATTTAGCAATAAGTATGCCTTGTTAGACAGATTTGGTAGCTGGATTACAGAACACTGTCTCTATCTGCCTTTATAGCTTGTGTCTTAAATAAAACGAGTTTGAGGATTTAAGCATATCATTACATGAAGCATTAGGGATCTGCTCTCTCATTATGCCGGTTTTGTTATAGCTATTCCCTTTGCAAAATTTTGCTTGCTTGATAAAAACAAAGTGAAAAAGATAGTGAAACTCTGTATCAGA